TGCGGTTGGTTTGGCCAAAGTGGAAGTGGGGTGGTGCGGAGAGCACGCGGACCTGGGCCCCACTGTACTGAGCAGCAATGAGAGCCTTGAAGGCTCTCCAGTTTTCGGGGTATGTGTACAGGGTCTATGAGAGAAAGGGCGGAGAACGGACATGAGTGAAAGAATCCTAAAGATACTCCCCACACTTCCACGCAAGTCCAATGTGTTCGACTAATTTTTAGTCCTCCTGGTGAACCAAATTAACTGAGTATGCCCTATGTAATCGGAGTCCTCTGAAATACCAAGAACAGAACTACATACCAGCTGCTAAATAAAGCCTGCCGGCAGATGTGACCTCCCTTAAGGACATCTCTAGCAGCATTCTTCCCTTCCAAACTTCCCGGTCCCCCAGACTCCCATCTGCCCAAATACACACACACCCATGCCTCCCAGAGTCCTTATTTCATTCATTCGTGGTGACCCAGCGTATGAGTAGAGCCACGCTGGTAACGCTTCAAAAGTACACACGTCCACCCATAGATTTCAAAGTTCCCCTCAGAAGAGCCACGTTGATTTCTAATGGCACGCTCTGCTCATCGACTCCTCTTCCTAAGAGCGAGGCGCACTCACATCTCTCTGGCCCCGTCCTGCAGCGTTTGTTTCCCAGCTGTGTCCCTGTTACAACCTGACCAGAGAGGTACAAACGGTCTGACCTCACTGCTCGCCGATTCCTCTGGCTCCCAAACCTCCCCGAAAGACAACTCTGAGTGTGCCGGTCGCCTCTGCCCACAAAGACCCTCTCCGTTTCCACTGTCCCCGCTGCTGACCCACAAAACGGTCGCAAAAGTTCCACCAGCCTGCCCAGGCGCCACACCTTGACACGGCAGTGCAGCTGGGCCACTTTCTAAAGACCCGGGCGGTGGAGACCCGTCACCTCCTTTCTCCTCCACCCCAGAACACCCCACCGCTGGCCTCCGAGCCCCAGCCTCAGTTCCCCTCCAGGCCCTAGGAACCCTGCTCCCCGGCGGCACGGCCTGCGGACCCCAGATCGGCTCTCCGTTTGGGTCTGGAACTCTCCCGGCGCCGACCGACCCGATTCAGTCAAAGGATGGCAGCGGATGGGGTGACCTGGATCACCGGCGCCGGCAAACTTACCCCAGCCGCCATGGTGATTCCGCAGAGAAAGGGGGTGGGGCTGTCGGTGCTGCCGCAAAGTAAGCCGCCAGGGAGACGAGGGAGGGAGGAAGGGGACAGCGTGCGGAAACAGCGGCCGGAAAGCGAGGACGGCATAAAAGGCATACGCACGACAGTTCCGTCTCCAGCCGCGCTGAGTTGGAAAGAGCAAGGGGTGGGGCCCACGGCCTGGAGCGCGCAGAGCTGGCGCCTGCGTAGTAAGGCTCTGCACAGGCCCGCCCCGGCCGCGTGGCCGACCAATCGGGAGCCTAACAGGAGGCAGAGCTCTCCGAGGGCGGGAAGAGTGTGAGAACCCGGCGGAAGCACCGCCCCTCGACCGCTCGTAGCTGAATCCTGCAGTTTCGAACTACAGCGGCAAGGAAGCGGGGCAGTTTACGAAATTCCTTTTGTTCCTTTTCGGGTTTCTCTATTTAGGGATATGTCTGTCCAGCCGGGGCCCATGGCCGGAAACATCTGGAAGCAGGTCTGCTCTGATTAAACAATCTTGCTGTTAACTTCTACAACAAAGGGGCCCGGACCAATTTGCCATGTCACCTGCACCTCTCAGGCCGGGCTGCGCCCCAGAGGATCGGGTAAGGCAGGCCAGATCTGATACAATAATTTACACACATCCAAGTCTGAAAATCTCGTATCCAACTTAAGGGCAATTTGAACCCACTCTAATGTTTAGGGATAGAAGAGACAAACCCTAAACCAGATTTGTGGTGGTTGCCATGAACTGGGGCGGCAGAAATCAGTGTCTTTGCCTTGTGGTGGTGACACTCCCTATGAATGCGGTATAAGGTGGGAAGGAGACGGCTGAAGTGGACATAACAACCTTTTTAGGGTGGTCAGGCCAAGCAGGGCAGAGGTGTCACCAGGTAGAAATCAAAGTTGTCCAGTGTCTGTATTAAATAAACTAGCAGCTTTATTATCTTTGAGGCCTGGCTCATCACTTAAGGAGATTTTTAAGTGCTTGAGGGAGAAACACCTGTAGGAAATGATGAAGACCAGGGAATAGGCCTTGGGAATCTTGAACTGGCACCACAGTGAGTGTCTGGTCAGCTTGGGAGACAGATGTCACAAAAGTGAGGAGAGGCTCCCCCTGTAGCCTCTGTTGCTCACTGTTGAGTCCTTTCAGTTCCTGGGTTACACGGGCCTCCATTGCCAGCCACTCTGCTCCAGTGGTGGGACCTCCTCTGCCTTCCTCTTTGGTTTGTTGCTGTAATCGTCTCCGGGCACGCCGCCTCCCCTGCCACACTTGGTGCCACAAGGCACAGCGCCAGCTCACTGACGACAGGTGTAACGTCTCCTTCCCTGTCTCACCCTGAGACCCTCCTCCAGCCACGTCAGGCTCCGTGGGCTTCTGCTCAGCCAGCTTCTCCAGACACTTTGCAGTCACCAGGGGCGGCTCCCCTGGTGGCCCAGAGCTCAAGGCCCTGTCCTGAGGTGTCTCTGTTACCATTTCTTCCACCCCATTTTCACTGTGGTCCCCTGCACATCCCTGCGGCTCCTCCTTCCCCTCCTCACAGCTCTCTTCTTGCCCATCTAGTCTCCGTCTTTTGTTTGTCCCTCCCAGGGGAGAGTCTTTGGTTCTGGCCCCTTCCGGCCGCGGTCTCTTGGTTCCCTGTTCTATATGGCACCCAAGCGCTTCCTTTAACACACGCACCAGAGCCACGGTGATCTGAGGAAAGGGGGCGGGGGGCAGGGGGATGAGCTTGGCAGACAGCAGGGAGCTAGTGGAGCTGGGCTGCAAGAGTGGGAGCAGTCCCCAGTCGCGGCCCCGGGAGGAGCGCTGCCGGTACTGGAGACTTCGGCAGTAACTGGCCGCCGCCCCGCAACAGCTCTGCAGCCGCCTCGCCACCCGACTGGTTACATTAGCGGCAACATTGTGACTCAGGTCAAAGGGGTCCTGGAGATTCATGGGGCCAAGGCGCAGCCCCTCCCAAAGATCAGAAGGCAGGCCCCCTGCTACCAGCAACGCCTGACCTTCCCGCAGGGACAGCAGGGAGCCGGAAAGATCCCAGCCAGAAACACAGGAGAAGAACTGGGCCAGCAGGGAACCTGGAGGAGGCAGATTAGGAAAAGGGGGTCACTTAGAAGCCATAACTGGGATGTCCCTGCAGCTACTTCAGTAGGACTTTCTTCCCTTCTTAGGGCTTCAGAAGTGTCCAGAGAAACCCAGCTCCTTAGCCACGTCCTGCCCAGATGCTGCTGCTTACCCTGGAGAGCAGTATAACTATGGAATACACCTCTTACTTGCCCAAGATATGGTTTTTTCATCCTTAAAACAGCAGCCATGGGCTACTGTGAAGACCGTGCCTTGCCCTTGAGTATGATAAATATTTCCTATTCTAGAGCTTAGTATCACTGTCAGTTCTCTCTAGATACCCCACACTCACTGAGAGGCTCAGCGTTGGTACTGGGCTCCAGTCGTGAGGCATCCTTTGGGAAACTACAGTCCCAGCCATCAACTTCTACCTGCTCCCCTTCACCTGTGACAGTAAGAAGACAGGGTCAGGCTGGAAGGAGGAAGACGGGGGAGGAACGGGTGGAAAATGCGGTGATAAATGAGATCTCATTCCAGGGGTTCTGAAGTGTGAGGGGGTGAGAAGAAGCTGAGGTAGTAGCGTTAAGTAGAGGTTGTTCTGCAGTACCTGACTTCTGGGTGAGCTGGGCCACAGTAGGAAGCACTGGAGGGTCTCTGGTCTGAAGGAAGTAGATCACTAGCAACGTCAAGGCGTAGTTATTGAGAAGGGGGCCACCCCCTGGATAAAAACCAAGAATTCCGATTAGGAAGAAGTATGTCTAAGCCCTGGTTCCTGGGCCCACTTCTTCTTCTCTGTCCCCATCCTCACCTGACAGCCCATTATGCTGAGCCCAGCAGCGTACAGTATACACAAGGGGCCGGACTCGACCATCCATCTCAGAGCAGAGATTCAGGAAACGGGAGTTATAAAGGGCTAGCCTGGGACAATGGAGAAACAAAGTTGTTACGGTGTAGGAACTCTTGAGACCTAATATCCCACCATCCTTCATTACAGACTTAAGACCAGCTAAAATAAGATCCAAAGAGTCTTCCCCAAACACTGGTCTCACGAAGGGATATACAAAAGAACATTAAACAGATCTAGGGATGTGGCCAAGTGGGACATTTGCCCAGCACTGGTGAAGCCTTGTGCTGGATCGGGGCGTGGAGTATGTATCAACAGAACCTGAGGCAACACGACATTCCATATGTTCATCCTATACAGTCACCATTCGTAAAACATGCTGTTTATATGGGACTGCTCACCAGCTAGGTAAGCATTTCCTGTAATCCCAGCACTCAAGAGGTTAAATAGGGTTAAATGGAGAGCCTGTCTCAAAAGAGACAAGACCAGTGAGATGGCTCAAGTAGGTAAGAGTCTGCCACCAAGACTGACACCCTCGCCGGGCAGCAGTGACACACACCTTTAATCCCAGCACTCGGGAGGCAGAGCCAGGCAGATCTCTGTGAGTTCAAGGCCAGCCTGGTCTACAGAGTGAGATCCAGGACAGGCACCAAAACTACACAGAGAAACCCTGCCTCAGAGGAAAAAAAAAAAAAAAGACTGACACCCTCAGTTCAATGCCTAGCACTCATGTGTTACAAGGAGAGAACTGACTCCCACAAGTTGTTATCTGACTACAGAGATGAGATATGCACAAACACATAATTTTAAATTTTTTTGAAACAAAAAACACTGTTCAGAGCCTTTTGGGGGAGAAGCAAAGTATCAAGAAAACTTGACTCCCTGCAAAGTGACAGTAGAGATCAAAAAGAGATATGCGGACCACGTGAGAGAGTCCTCAGGGACCCGTTGTTATTTGGGGCTTCCTTTTAAGGTTCAAGAGAAGGCATCAGGTTGTGTAGAGCTTAATATACAAAGAAACAAACTATGGACTAGGAGAGAAAGAGGGGGAGAAACCTGTTTACTTTTAACCTAACAGTTCCCAAATTTTTGTAGCTACAGAACTCTTTCCTATGCCTTTAACCCCAACAGAGGAGGCAAAGGCAGGCGGGCCTCTGAGCTCAAGGTCAGCCGTGTCTACATAGTAAGACTATCTTAAACAAAACCAACAACAAAAGAGCACTACGCAGAGTCAGGCATAGTAACGCACGCCTGTCACCCCAGGAGTCAGGAGGCTGGGGCAGGAGAACCCACCGCTGGGGGCCAGTATGGATAACAGGGCAAGACCCTGAGACACACAAAGTATTCCAAAGAAAACGACATTGAGATGGAAGCTAGACAGGAGGTGACATAATTGGAAGGAAGGAGGACTGAACCAAAGAAGAAAAACCTCAATTCCAAGTCAGGACTCCTCCTCATATATCCCAGAACTTAAGAGCAGCCATCCTCAACCCCACCATGAAAGTACCGGTTACTGAGGGAGATGTCTCCATGAAGACCTGAAGGCCGATGGCAGAACTTGACCACAGGGCGCCGGGCCGAGGGCACAGTCTGGACTCTGTAAACTCCGGGGACACAGCCCCGGAGAATAGAGCCCACCATCTCTAGCACTGCTGCCGCCTCCTCCTTCTCGTCCTTTGAAGCTTCTGCTAACTCTAGGGCCTTCCCCAGTTTCTCCTCTCCCCTCTCGTCCTGTAGTGGCGAAACTGGAGGCAGGGACTGGGGAGAAGTGACGGTGTCAGAGCCCAAAGCAGAATCTGGTGTCTGTGGTGCCAGAGAAGATGTGGTTTCCAAGTCCAGGACCTCAGAATCTTGGAGAGAAGTTGGAGACGGTGAGTCCAGAGGAGAAGCTGGGGTACAGGCCAGCGCTTGATGATCCAGGGAAAAAGCAAGTGCTGAGTCCACGGATGGAGGTGATGGAGCCTTGAGAGTCTGTGGGGCTGGCTGTAGATGGAGAGGAAAAGGAGTGAATACCCCTCCTCTTCCACTGCCCTCTATGTACAGGCTTTACTCTGCAGCTTTACATAACTCATTCTCAACAGAAGCCAGGCAATGATCCCAGCACTCAGGAGGCAGAGGCAGTGGATCTCCAGCCTGGTAGATACAGTGAGTTCCAGGACAGCCAGGGCTGTTATACAGAGAAACATTGTCTCAAACAAAAAAAAAAAAAAAGACAAGGTATCTACTGTGTAGCTCAGGCTGACCTTAAACTTTCTTCTTTTTATTTTATGTGTTGTGTGTTTTACCTGAATGTATGTCTGCACCACATGGATGCAATGTCTGGAACTGGAATTACAGACAGTATGAGCTACCATGTTTGTGCTGGAACTCCAGTCCTGGTCCTCTGGAAGAGCAGCCGGTGCTCTTAACCATTGAGGCTTCTTTCCAGCCCCATGGCCTTTAACTTTTCACAACCCTCCTGTCTCAACCTCCCAAGTGCTGGGATTTAGAGTCATACTTTAACCTGACAACCAGAGCTGTCCAAAAGATTCCCAAAACATATAGCCTACTGCTGTTGCCCTTGGTTGCCCTCCACCCCCAGACGCAGAAGGTAAGTGCCTACTGCAGAAGATACCATGCACTTAATAAACAAGGTCCGGGGCTGAAGAGATGGCTGAGAGGTTAAGAGCACTGGCTGCTCTTCCAAAGGTTCTAAGTTCAATTCCCAGCAACCACATGGTGGCTCACTACCATCTGTAGTGAGATCTGGTGCCCTCTTCTGGCCTGCAGGGATGCGTGCAGGCAGAACACTGTATACATAATAAATAAATAAATCTTTAAAAAAAATAAATAAAAGAAAGAAAGAAACAAGGCCCAGTGACCCCTGAGCTGGAACTGACCTGAAAGCCTCCTCCCTGAAGACTAGCTTTCATGGCACCAGAAGGCACCATGCAAGCTTCCAAAGGAGGGAGGCTACCAACAGCCCTACCCAGCTATGACACCTCTGAACCATAACGACCAGCACGGCACGATAACCCTAAGGGTGCTGTAGTGGCACACACCCCTTGGCAGTAACCAGCAGCTTTTGAACTGGACTTAAGACCTGCTCGCCAAGAGGGTGACCACGGTGGGGAATGGAAACCTATGAACTACTTGGTGCTGGTGAAGTCATGGATATTGGAGGAGAGTCTACAACCATACAATCCCTAACAATAATCTAAACATCTGTCCTTACACCCACAGATAAGTGTCATCTTCACCCCTCATCAGAGAAACTTCTCTTTGCAGTAGACACTATTTACAGAAACCACAGCTATGTTCCACAAAATGTTCCACAAAATGCAGAGTTGTGGAACCCAGTCCCAGTGGATACATCTACAAAACACTCCTGCATCTAAGGCCCAGAACATTGTGAATGAAGGAATGGAAGGTTATAAGAGTCAGAAGAACGGAGTTTGCATCAGAAGCCACACCTCCAAGTCTCACCAACATGACTGCCCAAATGTGAGCTAAACAAAACACTAATGAACACGCCAAAGTGGACAGGAAAAAGCCCACGCCCAGAGTTGTTCTCTGACTTCCACATGCCACCCCACCCCAAACACAAAATAAACTTTGTGTGTGTGTGTGTGTGTGTGTGTGTGTGTATGTGTGTGTGTGTGTGTGTGTCATTTTTTGAGACAGGGTTTCTCTATGTAGTCCTGGCTGTCCCAGAACTCATTCTGTAGACCGGGCTGGCCTCGAACTCAGTGATCTGCCTCCCGAGTGCTGGGATTAAAGGCGTGTACCACCACCATCAGCTATAAACTTTTTTAAAAAAGAGTATGGGGCCATATCCAATGCAGGTCCCACCCAGGCCACACAGCCTTTGCTCCAGTCCAGGCCTGGGAGGTGCAGCTCTCACCCTCAACAGAGAAACTTCTTCTTCTTCTTGCAGCAGACAGAGACCATTACAGAAGGCCACGACTCGTCAAAATGCAGAGAACAATTGACCAAGGGGTGCCTAGCCCTGATAAACATATAACACAACTTCTACACCTAAGGCTCAGGGAACATTGAAAAAGAAAGGGAAGAAAGACTATAAAAGTCATAAGACCAGGACGATTGTGTCTTCCATATATGACAGAGAACTACACCCACGAAATGTCAACAATATGGCTGCACAAATGAATTCAGCAGGTTGTATTTATATAATTATCCATTTACACGTATGTAACAATAATTTAAAAGAGGCTATGAATTTGAGGGGAAAATAGGAACAGTTGGAGGGAGAACTCTGTGAGTTCGAAGCCAGCCTGGTCTACAAAGCAAGTTCCAGGACAGTTTGGACTGTTACACAGAGAAACACTATCTCAAAAAACAAAGCAAAAATAGTAACAATTTTATTTAAAAGTATGGACCTATAGTCCAGTGTGGTAGAACAGGTTTCTAACCACCAATCCTAACTAGAAGTGGTGCCACACGCCTACAATCCTAGTACTTGGTAGGGTAAGGCAGGAAGATCTACAGTTGAGGCCAACCTGAGCTACAAAGTAAGTACCAGGACAATCAGGACTACATCATTAAAACCCTGTCTCAAAAATAAGACAGCTTGCCGGGCGGTGGTGGCGCACGCCTTTAGTCCCAGCACTCGGAAGGCAGAGGCAGGCGGATCTCTGTGAGTTCGAGGCCAGCCTGGTCTACCAAGTAAGTTCCAGGAAAGGCGCAAAACTGCACAGAGAAAAACCAAAAAAAAAAATAAATAAAAAAATAAGACAGCTCAGCAGTAACAGTGCTGTTCTTGCAGAGGAACCAGCTTCAGTCCCTAGCACCCAGAAGGTGGCTAACATCCCCTGTAACTCAAGGGGGATCTGTTGCCCTCTTGTGACTTCCCGAAGTATCAAGCATACATGTAGACAAAATACTCATAATGTGCATGTGCAAAGGCCCTGGGTTCAACCCCAACACAACAAAGAACACACCCTCTTTAGAGGAAGGTCTACAGGAATTCTATTTCTACACAACTTTTCTAAGAATCTAGAACTTGCTGGGCGGTGGGAATTCTATTTCTACACAACTTTTCTAAGAATCTAGAACTTGCTGGGCGGTGGTGGTGCACGCCTTTAGTCCCAGCACTCGGGAGGCAGAGCCAGGTGGATCTCTGTGAGTTCGAGGCCAGCCTGGGCTACCAAGTGAGCTCCAGGAAAGGCGCAAAGCTACACA